CTCCCAATAGGTTGTGGTATTGGCGCCGAAGTATTAGCATTGGATACCATTCAACGGATCTGTTGGGCGCACAGAGACTATACCATCGGCAGCGCTGATCGGATCCCGTAATCACTTCTTCATCTCACCATTCATTTGAGTCATTCAATAGATTTGATTCAATCACACGATAACACCATTGAATGCATTGAATGGCAAACCAAACACAACAACACTATTGAAAACGCCTTAAGCCTTAACTCCAATCAAACGCTGAAACACTGTTTGCAATGCAATCAACAATTCATTCAACCATTCATTCAATGCTATTATCAATAAGAATGTCAACGAGTTTTCAATTCACGCAATGTTTATCGATATTATGTGACACTCTGTTCGCAAACAACGTTACAACAGTTAACGGGGTGGGAGTGGACACCGATTAGGGGTTAATGTAATATTCTATACATCAATATTAAAGGGTATTCATAGTGAAAGGGTTTTAAAGAATTAGAGGTGACGTAACGTACTTTGTAATCAACCGGTCATTTGTGTATTAGATAGTCATAAATAACGTACAGAACGAGAGTGTGATTGCAGTAATTGTCCCCCAATTCTAGTGAAGCGCTAAACGAATGCTTGCATTAAAACGCAAATTACTTTTGAGCGCATATTTAGTGGACGTAATTGAGTCATACCTGACGTACCGTTGAATAGCCATTGAATGTATGGTTTGATTGACTGAATAGCGTTTGCCAAACGTTTGGATCAATTGAGGCCACACTTTGGCCACAAATACAGCACCACTTTATCGCTCATTATATACACGAATCCATAGACTCTTGAGATTAGCTCATAGTCGCAGACAAAAGCCCACAAAACAATTGTGTCGTTATATTTGGTGATGAAATCGTTGAGCCATTGATTGACTGATTGTGTGATTTGTTTGTCCTTTTCATCCATCGATCAACTCTTGAGTTTTGTGTCTCTCTTTGATCACTGAAATGGCGGATCAATTTTTCGACAACGAGGCGGAAGTGTCGGAAGGAAGCGAAGACGAAGAGGTGAGGAATGATATCAAAACGAAAAAGAGGGCCAAATTTGAAGACTCGGAGGAAGAGGAAGAAGACGGTAAGTGTTGCGATGGTATTGACTGGAACTGAATGATGATGTGGTTAATGATTGGTTCAGATGAGGACCGGCTTCGCAATGAGATGAAGGATCTGATCAATGATGAAGAGGAAGAGCCCGAAGAGTCTGACGAAGAGGTGACGGGACGGAAGCGGGCGCGAGAGGATCTCGAGGAAGACCTGGAGGACGACGACTACGATCTGATCGAAGAGAATTTGGGCCGACGTATAGAGAGGAAGAAGAAGTTCCGTCGCGTCCAACGTCTTGAGGACGACGACGAGGA